AGGAACAGTCCTAATTTGTCACCTCCTACAATATTATTGTGAAAAGGACAGTGGGTCTATTCTTTGTTCTCCACAATGGAGCCATGAAAACCACACTAGCAGCTACTGGCTTCACAATGCTTTTTTTTTTCCTAATTATAAATTTTACAACAAAGTCAATACATAAACTAGTTTTGATTATACTACATAAAAATCAAAACACTATTTCACAGCTGTATTTCTACAAAATTAAACAAAGAAAATGTTTTAGTCACAACACACTTAATACTACATAACCTAGATTTGATTACGTCACTAAAGAAAAAAAATATATTTATATATATATTAGAGCTATTTTTCTACAAACATTTGCAAAGAAAATCCCAGGCAAAGAAGAAACAAACGAAATGTTTTTTAAAAAAAAAGTTTGTGTATCTTTTACAGGATGTTTCAGAACCATCCCCAGCATTTTTTGGCTGTTGCAGTTTTTCTAGGCAAATTTTACAGTAGTTTGCCACTGCTTTCTGAGTGGTCAGCTCTCAACAATACTGTCAAAACCAATGAAAGACAGTTTGCTGCCAAACTGCCTGTAGCTGGGATCAAACCCTACATCCCAGCATTATGAAGGGGGTTCACAAGGTCTAAGCCACAGACGCCGACAAACACAAAATATATGGCACCCATATTCTCCTTAATGATATCAAAAACAGGAGCAACTGCAGTCATGCTGACATCAAGAAGTAAATTAACATAACACAAACTATCACTACTAAAATGAACTAAGGGAGGGAAAAAAGCCATACAAAATCAACACAATCTTTCAACCAATTTTTATCAATGAATAAAACAATAGATTTCATAAACAATAACAAGCAATGAGGTTACAAAAAACAGAAATGCAAAATAGAAACAACCAGGCAGTGACATAAGTGGAATAATAACATTATGAGAAGGACTTTTTAGAGTGTACAAACTGGGTGAGAGACTGTGTGAGGCCAACCATCACTGTACTGACACCCCACAACTGATTGAATGAAAGAATGTAGACAGTGTGTTTTGTATTTTGACTGTGAGCTATCCTCATTATGACTGCATCTAACTGATTGCCTGAAAGAATGTAGACAATACTTGTTATATTCCAGTTGTGACAATCCTTATTGTGACAGCATCTGACTTGATTGGCTGTGAGTTGTCTTCACTGTGAAGAAAGACAGCATCTGACTGACTGGATGTGACCTATCTACACTGTGAAGAAAGACAGCATCTGACTGACTGGATGTGACCTATCTACACTGTGAAGAAAGACAGCATCTGACTGACTGGATGTGACCTATCTACACTGTGAAGAAAGACAGCATCTGACTGACTGGATGTGACCTATCTACACTGTGAAGAAAGACAGCATCTGAATGATTGGCTGTGACCTATCTTCATTATGAAGAAAGACAGCACCTGACTGATTGGCTGTGACTTGTCTACACTATAAAGAAAGACAGCATCTGACTGATTGGCTGTGAGTTGTCTACAATGTAAAGAAAGACAGCATCTGACTTGACTGGCTGTGAGCTATCTACACTGTGAAGAAAGACAGCATCTGATTGATTGGTTGTGACCTATCTTCATTATGAAGAAAGAAAGCATCAGAAAGCCTCTGACTGATTGGGTTGACCTGTCTACACTATGAGGAAAGACAGTATCTGACTGACTGGCTGTGATCTATCTACATTGCGAAAAAAGACAACATCTAATTGACTGGATGTGTCCTATCTTCGTTATGAAGAAAGAAAGCATCTGACTGATTGGCTGTGACCTGTCTACACAATGAAGAAAGGCAGTATCTGACCGATTGGCTGTGACCTATCTTCACTGTGAAACAAGACAGCATCTGACTGTTTGGCTGAGACCTATCTTCACTGTGAAGAAAGACAGCGCCTGATAGACTGGCTGTGGCCAACCTTCATTGTGAAGAAAGACAGCATCTGAATGACTGACTGAAATAATTTTGAGTGTTTTTGTTGTATTTCAACTGTGATCTATCTTCATTATGAAGAAAGATAGCACTTGGCTGAATGGCTGAAAAAAATACAGACAATATGCTTGGGATACTGACAGCAGCCAATCTTTATTGTGAAGAAAGACAGCATTTGACTGATTGAAATAATAAAGACACTGTGTGTTGCAAATCTTACAAACTGAGCTGTGTTTAGATTGACATGTACTTAAGTAAACCTTCTGCCTGTGCTGGCAAGGTCTCAGAGACGAAAGCCTTTGTGATTCTACATACTAAAATAGGTAAATGAAAAGTTTCTGAAAGGCAGAGGGGGTTTACCCAGTAAGCCTCATGGTATCAAGAGTGATCTTTGAAACAATAATAATGCCTAATACAAAAATAACATATAAGAGAAGTCACCATACAAATGTTGCCACTGAAGAACAAACATGTTAGACACTTGGGTACAAAAACAATTGTCCTGAATAAGTTTCACTTACATACATTTAAAATCAAGCAATTAAATTTCCATTTGTAATGTTTTTTCAATTTCAACATATGCCAGTGAAAGTTGAAGAACCACTAAAGACACAGAACAAAGTTAAATGCACTCTGGAAAAAAAATTCCTGAGAAAAATGAACATAAACTTGGATGAATTCGAGAGGGGCGAAGAAGTAAGAGAAATTTCTGGGCAACCAACAGCATTAACAGTTATAAGACAGAGAAGATGGTGCTACATTGGATGCATATTGAGAAGAAACGAGCAGAGCATTGCCAAACAGGTACTGAAATAGGAAACAGAGGGATTGTGCAAACAAAGAAGTGAAAGAGTTACACTAAGATAAACTTTGATGAGAGAAGCCAGAAATGCTGCACAGAATTACCCCCATGAGACACAGGCTAGAATAGTGATTAGTGATTAGAAAGGATTATCATCACAGCACTCCGGACAGATCCATAGGTCCTTCGATCTCCACCTCAAAAGCTCCACAAGCGTAAAATACTGATGATGCCTGTTCAGTGTTGGTTAATGAAACGTCTTGTCCCCTTAGTGAAATGTTCATTTCTTGCAGCTCCAGGTTGCACCCCCATGTCCATCAGTCTAGACAGGGATGCGGAGTCATGTGCTTGGGCGTGCTCCTCGGTATGGTAAGTGCAGCGCATGGCATTGATAACATCACTTCTGTCCAGTACTGGGCCAGCCATAGCAACCGCAGTGTCAGCAAGATAGTCTGCACGCTCGTTCCCTTGAACACCCTCATAACCTGGCTAGAATGCAAGGGAGGAATAGACTGAGAGCTCTTTGTGACATATAATGGCACAACAGGACAATGAATGAATGAAATCAAATATCACTATTTTGCATTAACTCTTTCATTCCCATATAATGAACAATGCCGTACTAAATGTCTAGAAAGCTGGGTTCTCATGCTGAGGTGTAATGAAAACTGTTTCTTTGAGGGAGCAACAACAAAAATGTATACCTTGCCTTTATAGTTTGTGATAACTGCACCATCCATGCAGCCCTCAGTTCTCAGGCTTAGACACCTGGCAACAACAAAAATGTTAACTTTGCCTATGCAGTTTGTGATAACTGCACTATCTATGCAGCCCTCAGCTTAGACACCCTTCCCCTCCTCTACTTAACCAACAAAACAAAAACACCCACAATAATTTATTTCCCAAAGTGTCAGTATGAGGACCTTTTTTTTCTGCACTTACCTTGAACCCTTCAACTCCACTCAATTCATGATGTGTTACTGACTAGTCCCCACATGTCTCAAACATCATATCAAGTGTCTTCTTGTGTTTACGTTTTGGTCAGTGTATTCTAAATAAATCAAAGCAATGTTTCCCCACTGCAAATTTGACTCAAGAAGACAAAAACAATAGATTGCAGGTGCATACTAAAGTAACAATTACATAAATGTCGAGATACAGCTAAATATACCAGACAATAAATTGTGCAATCAATTGATTGTTTCTTCTTTATTCAAATATTTTAAATAAATCTGACCTGGCAAACATTTTTCATTTTTGTAGCACAGCAAGTGGTTATAGTCCCCCCCCCCCCCCCCCTGGACAAAAATATTGATTTTTCTACAAAGCCTTATAGGATTGAAACACTCAAAAGCAGATATTGTGCTGTGGGTTTTGGCCCAACACTTTTAATTTCAAACTGACCCTAATTAGTGGCCTTTTAGGACATGCTTGTTAGGAGGCACAGGCTCTATTTTTTCCATCTAAAGTGAGATCCCAAACATATATGGAGAACTGGAGTACTAACCTTTGAGTATTCAAGAGTTTAAACAGCAGTTGTCAGACTGAAGTAGTTAAAGTAAAATCTCAGACACAATGAGTTCATGTAACACAGCGGTTCTCAACCTATGGGTCACAACCCTTTTTAGCGTTGAATGACCATTTCACAAGGGTCACCTAAGACCATCGGAAAACACATATTCACTGAAGCCATCAAAGGGCAATGAAAATAATTTTATGGTTGGGGGTCACCGCAACACGAGGAACTGTATTAAAGGGTCGCAGCATTACGAATGTTGAGATCCACTGATGTAACAGAAAAATAGGACAAAAGAAGTAAATAAAGACACATATCATGTATAGAGTATTCAGTGAACATGTAGTCAGGTGAATGGTATTAAAGGACTAAAAAGAATAACCTTGGCCGACAGAAAAACACAACTGTAAAATATGTGTGACCAATATCACTGCAAGATTACCACCAAAAAATCTAATTTGTGCAAGAAATTCCACACCCAGAATGTTGTACACAGTAAAATATATAAGTACAAAACATTGTGCTAGATATGTGCAACTATAACTTTTACAAATCTAGTTTAGTGACTAAGGAGGATTTAAGTCTTGTAATCCAAGAAGGTGTCTGCATATAAACTGGTTGCTGTATAAAAAAAAAATGTATAATTTATCAAATAATAGAAATGTATAGTTTAATTTATCAAAGAAGATATTTCACATCTAAAGTAACCAGTAACACTACAAAGCTTTGAACTGTCAAGATGAAGCAAAATCCTCAGAAGCTGCATCGCGATTCATGAGTGGCACACGCTCTGCATCTTTACTGACTCGATTGTTGGCCTGAGACACCTGTATAGTCAAGTTGACTGTATTTTTGTGCCCACCTGCTGTTTCAATGACAACCAGCGGCACTTTTTCCTGCTGGCCATCTTCAATGGTGATAATACTGTCGTTCAAATCATCGCTGGCAGAGTCTAGTTTGACAGAAGTATCACCAGCATTTGGTGCCTGCACATTTGATTTCACGATCCCTGATGAGGCAGTCCTTCTAATATCCCCCCCATTAATTGTTTTACTATCATCAACCTCACTGAGGTGATTCAGTTTGCGATTACCGTAAGGTACATTAAATGAGTCATAATTTTTTTTCCAATCTGATGTTGGGCTGACTTGCGTTGCTGACATGCTGTGATCATTTGTTTTGCCATTCATTTCTTGATTTTCCGGACTTCTATCTTTAGCATCGGAACCAGTGCGCCTTATCCGGTACATACCTTCTAAGGGATCGTTTTTGCGATGAAAAAATGTGAGGCGGTCTAGAGATGACGTTGACTTTTTCTTTGCTGTTTCATCGTACTTTATAGCATCTAGAGGCATGTTGAGAGGGGGAGAGTAGCTGTCAGATACACTGTTGCTTTTACTACGATTTTCACTGGACTTGACCTTCTCGTACTCAGCTTCAAAAGCATCATGAACTGTAATGCTCCCACTTTGTCGCAGCATCCTTGTGGTGCGCAGAGCAGCAATATACATTGCCCTGTGTATGCTCAGGTACTGGACATCAGTTATTGCTCGGACTGAAAAATCAGGGATGTAGTCTGAACTCTTTGTTTCCGAGGTCCCCATGCACTTTCTTGCATCTGAAACAGACCATAAATATGCCATTAGAGACTGCAGCTAAAACAACAAAAACAAGAGAATACCCAGAAAAAATGCAATAGTTTCATAGCTCCGCTTTTTGAAGAAATATGAAAGAATAGATCCTATGCCCCTTAACAAACATGTTGCTCAAGTTGACTAATTAAGTATGTTTTCTTTTAAGTCAAGTGCATCCGACTGAGAGGTGAGGAATCAATAGTCTCCATAATAAACCAGATGTGTCAAATTTATGTGCATGTAAAACTAGTTCTAAAACAAGAACACAATTCAGAACTGGGGGAACAACCAGAACTTTCCGCCGGAGTTTACAGCCAGTGAGCATTAAGAAGAAGATATTATAACAGTGATTAAAAATTAAATTAACACCATACAAACTATACTTAATATGAAGCTCGGACTAAGTGAAAAAGAAGACATTCAACAGGAACTCTGCAACCCAGACAACATATACAACAGGAATTATACATCATTCAGTTGTAACCAAAAATTGTAACATCTTTATCGATCTTCCTCTTCTTAGTGTTTACTCAATGTCCTTGCTAGTCATCTACTTCTGGACTTTGGCCTTATTCCTGGGTTTGAATTTTGTGTTCATGTCTATTTTACACATATGACATTTTGTGTGCAGACTGCTGGTCCCTTGCCTCTCAGGCTGATACATTTTAACTTCCAAAAAAAATGCTGATCCTATTTAGGATGGCCAGGTCCCTGGTAGGAATTTATAGCTGGGATGACCACGGAGAGGTTTTGATAGGTCTTAACCAATATGAGCCTATCTCTGTTGCATCATGAGTAGCTCAGCAAATTAGCAACCCTTTTTATTTAACTCTTTGAGTCCCAAGGAGCGCATCATACATTCATAGGTTCCTACATAGAAGCCCAGTAAACGCAAGATGCGCCGATTTTACATCTCTCTTTACTACCCCTTGGGCCTGGGATGCAAAACCCTCTGGGGCTCAAAGAGTTAATCAACGTATACAACAGGAATCATACACATAAAAAATGAATGAGAAACTATCACATGGACAATAATCCATGAAAGCAAAAAGTTAGAACATAAAGAAGTGTTATGAAAAAGCACATTGGCAAAGAATTGGGGGAAAAAGTGAATGTACAAAATATTTTCTTAAACTGACTTCATCAGATGAAGAAATACTATACAATTATCCCTGCTGGTTGAGAATGCCTAAACTTTGAATTTTGCAGTTTTCCTTCTTTTTTTCTACTCCTGGAATGCTTTGTGGCATTAGGGCAAAATAAGATTTCTAGAACAAGCCCTTCTATTCGCTTCGTATTTAGTACTTTTCAGTGTCTTTTCTGTGATCCATGTTCCACATAGTCTACCTCTGGTCTGTTACTGTTGTATCTGTATAGCAATGCTTTCTGTGGCGTCCTGTCTGTTTCTAATCTTGTTACATGACCTAACTGTTTGACCTGTTGTCTACTGATAAATGTCAGCACTGATTCTCTGCCAACTCTCCAACTGTTATCATTGTTCCTAAGTTGATCTTTCCTTTTTAGTCCGTTCATGAGATCTCTTAATTTTTCTGTGAATGCTAGATAAACTGTTGGTTTATTTTCCAATGAGAGATAAGGTCTGCTCACTTGAGCAAGACTTACGACACTTACAGAAACGTCAATTCTATCTCTGTGGAGAAAGCTTTGGTAATGAAGATGACATTATAAAAATATCAATACAGAAACATAATTTACATTAAATAAATAGAAACCTCATACAAAATATTAACTAATTCTGATATTAGTAAATGAAAAGATACTGATCTGCACTTATATAGCACAAAACAAATCTGAAGGAAACAAGCAGATAACGCAGAACATAATTGAAAGCTATGGACAGCGTCTAGCCCCTCCAAATCACCTTCTACATCATTTATTCTTCTATGTCAGCCCCTAAAAGGGTAGGTGGCACAGTGTTTTGTGGTTTACCCCTAGGCTGTGACATATGTGCCTTCAGGCACAACACATCCGTTACAGGACATTCTTTATTTAGTCACATTTATGACACACGTTTTTAAGCAGCAGCAAATAGACCCCTTTTCTCAACCCACTTTCCCCCACCCCACAAATGGGGCACCATAACCTACATTGGTATTTATATCATTAACTAATGACAGCCTGGCAAAGCAGATTATTATATCCATGTTGTTTGTAAACATATTCAGGCTGACCATATAACACCCGAAAAATGTGTGATAATGTAAAAATATAAACAACAATTATGAAAACCCTAAAAATATGTACAACATTGTAATAAGGATATTTCCCAAGGAATTTTTTAGATGATGTAAGAAGGTCAAGGGTCAGTTGAGTGAGTAGAACCCGAGAGGGCAACGCTCACAAATCCCTGTGAAAGTGTGGCAACCCGTGGAAACGAGAGGAAGGATTGAAAGTGAAGGAGGTGATCAAGTTAGTTCATGTTTGCCAACCACAGTGAATGGTTGAGTTCTGAGAGGCGTGTCACTGCTATGAAATGTATCTGATAAAGGTGTGAAGAAATTCCTGATTTCACATGAGGAAGGCCTGACCAAAAGTTATCTCAAGTCGACACCCAGTACGACTGTGAAGACTGATAACTGACTGTTGGAGATGTCAGTTCGTCGCCTGTGTGGCACCTGAATGAATCACCCAGAATGCAAGTGCTGAAGACTGTTGACATTGTAAGCGTGTATTGTAACTATTCATGATAGATATTATTACGAGGAGTTCAGAAGACAGTGACCGGACATTATCTTTGCAATAACAATAAAGAAATGAACACTGTGAGTTTTTTTTTGGTCATCATCTGAGTGTGTTCATCATCAATGTGAGATGACGCCTGTACTGTCAAGATATCCAACTATCACACCAATGTCTGTTTCTAACAAAGTTTTCTCACTTCAAACATACTTTGGTCCACTTCTAAGCTGTATATAATTATGCTGTAAGTCTGAACATTAAGAGTAATGAAAGCTCAGTTCATAAGTATCCAAGACATCCTAGGGCAGCCATGCATTATTAACCCTTTTGCACCCCAGAAGGAAAAAAAAGACACTTTCACTGGGTCCAATCCCCATAAATATCACTTTTCTGACTTTTCCAAAGTGACGTATTTATAACCCCCTCCCCCCCCCCCTGCTCCTGGCCTTTGGTTGACCTTTGACATTGCTTTGTAAAAACAGATAGCAGCTATTTCTTTGTGAACAAAGTGATGGATAGAAAAGAAGTTGATCATCCCATATTGTCAGGGTATGGCATATGTGTGAAGGTCTATCACAGCATCTGCCTTGATGTAGTCTTAAGTTTTGTGTGTGTGTTTTTTTACTTTAGTCAACTCACACTATGAAATGCCAATCAATCAAACAAATCAGATGCCAATTAATCAATCAAATCAGATGCCAATTAATTAATCAAATCAGATGCCAATCAATCAATCACATCAGATGCCAATCAATCAATCCAATGCCATCTCCACTGCTGCATGCAATGTATCTCCAACATTTTATGTCTTTCACCCTGAATGTAGACTTCTCAGATCGCTGTTCATTCATCTCTTGATGTTATCATCCTACATGTATTGCTGTCTACCTTTTGCTCACATGATTCAACTGTTCCCTCCAGTATTGTTTTTTTGTAAAAAGTATTATGTCTTTCAATATGGTCAAAATACTTTGCCTGTCTCCTTCCATTTCCTTCAGCAAAACTCTTTTCAAACCCAGACTCTTCATAACCACTGTATTTTGATTGTCTTTACAAATATCAAGCTGTTCTGTATAAAGTCAGCCTTAAGAGTAATTAGGTTTATCTAGTTATTCATTTATAATCCTACTAGACAAAGGGACAAAGAAAGATATATATGGAATTTCAAGGACAGGAGGTTAGAATCATTGCACAACATTTTACATGTATAGCTCAGTCTCTAACTGCAGAAAGGAAGCTGACTGCCCTAGAATATCATTTAAAAAAAACAAACTGTTCACCAGTGAACCCGCCAGAGCACTCCAAAACACTAACACTCGCAAAAAGAAGGTCCAAACCAAACCAACAGCAAGCAGCTGAACCTATTTGCCATGGTATTGTGTGCCAAGCTTGAACTGCTAATAAAAGATTATAACATAAGCCAAGGCAATGTTTCCCTGTTGAGAATTTTAACAAAGAAGACACAAATAGCACATTACACAATGTACTGCCTAGCATATTTCACTGTATCTTGTCAAGTACATACTCCAGTCACAACTGATTACAACAAAGCACATAAATTATGCTGACAAAAGGTTGCGGTCATGACCTTGCATTTGCCTGGGTGAAACAGCCAGCTACTTTTGAGTGTAGTTGATTCTGTGGTTCTTCTTTTTAGCGTTCACTGGCTGGCAGAAAGGTCTGGTTGTTCATCCATCTCTCAGGACTTTGGTCTTGTTCAGAACTTTAGTTGTGCATGGAAATCCGCTTTAATGATCTGCTTATTTGTAGGCAGACTGCTGGTTACTCACCTCTCGGGTAGATGCACTCTGACTTCAAAGAAACTCCCCTCAGCAGTTGTCTTGTATGACTTTCTTGTATGACTTTCTTGTCAGGGAGGCAGTTGCTATATTTTTGATTTTTTTTCAAGCAGGATTCATTTATGTGCTTCATTTTAATAAATGTTTACTGTAGTGTGTACCTGATGAGATTCAGCTAAATTTGCCAGGCAATTAATTGTGCAATCTGTTTCATGTTTTATGTGTTCAAATGACAGAAGCATCCCTAACTTCATCAATATATTAGATAACAGAAAGGTAGTTATGTATACTTCAAAGGATGCCAAAAACCAAGCCCAGTTTTCATTTGCAACTTGCAGTTTTACTAGGCACATTTTTATGTCAAATAGTTTGCCACTGCTTTTTAAACAGTCAGTTCTCTATACCATTATTGGAATCCAAGAAAAGTGGGATACCAACGAAGAGCAAAAACAGAAGGGACAAAAGGTTATGATCCCCCAGTTTTTGCAGCTCCCAAGGAAAAGCGTCTGTAAACAAAACTGTCAGATGCTCGGGCAAAGTATCACAGATTGAAAATCACAAAGCTGGTCAATGGTTACTTACTGTCGATACATTCTACTCCAAAGTAGCTGAATGGTCCTGACTCAAACACCATACTTTCACCCCCAATCACAACTTCCACTGTGCCTGCAACGATAATAATCAAAATTAATTCAGAACAATCAAAGCCTGCTGAAACAAAAATCAAAATTAATTCAAAACTAATTCAGAAAAATCAAAATTAAATTCCCGGTGTTGGTTCCGTGACCCTACAGAGGAGGGGGACACCCCCCACTGCCCCCCCCCCCCTTCCAACAAGTATGTAGCAGAGATTAAACTAATTAGGGGTTTCCTCCTAAATCGGAATGCATCTGCCTCAAGGAAAAGGAATCAACAGTCTGCATATAAAATAAGCTAGGTCTGCTATAAAATGTATGTGCATACAAACAATCAAGTTCTGGAACAAGACTACAGTCCAGAAGTCCAGTCAGTGAAGAAGTACCACACTCTCACCCTTAATCACAACTTCCACTATCCAGGCAAAACAGCAATTAACATTAATTCTAAACCATCATCAATCAGTTACAACTTCCATAATGTCTGTTCACTTGTAAGTCAATACAGTTGAAGCCTTAGTACTAGTAGGTTTAAGCCTTAGTACTAGTAGGTTTATGCCTTACTACTTACTAGTAGGAGATCAAAGGCAGATCAGGAATTTAAAATTAAATAAAAAGTTAAATTTGTATACTTTATAGAAGGTTAAAAACAAACCCCATTATTGGCTGGATTTTTTTAAAGTTTTGCCAGTCAATTTTTATGTTCAGTAGTTTGCTATTGCCTTCTGAATGTTTGGCTCTCAATACCACCACATAATCAGAAATACCTAGGCTATAATGTAAACAATCCACCTTGTGCAGATGACACATTACTGACTTTTAAAAAAATTCATAAGATGTGTAACAACTGTTGGACACAGCAGTACTTTTCTTAAACTGTGAAGTCTCCTTAATGGAGGTTGGCTTTTGTGGATAGGTATATCTACTGCTTTATAACAATCAAGGAATGAGGCTTCAATCATCCATAGCGACTTTACTACCTAGGATGCCAAAAGAATAGATTTTTTCTTAACAACCCACCATAGAAACTGAACCTTGGCAGGTAAAAAAAATATAAAATACATTTACTGACCATTCATTTAGTGCTCAGCTATTGGAAGTCTTATTTTCAAATCCACGCTGTGGTTGAAATTTCTAAAAATGACTTCAGCCAACTGCCTCCAATCTCCTCCTTATTCTTCTTAATGTTCCCATGCAGTAAAATCCGGCAGAAAGTTTTGGTTGTACACCCACTTTTGATCCAGAATCTGAATTTTGTGTGCACATCCATTTTACAGATCTGGTTTACTTGTATGCAGACAGTTGGTTCCTCACATTTCAGGCAAATGCACTTCAAATCCCTAATTAGTGGCCCTCTGAGATATGCCTGTTAGGAAGGCAGTGGGTCTATTCTTTTCCCCCAAAATAGGAACCTGGAATCCATATGGGGACCAGCCTTAACTGAAAAGCGGGAAATTTTCATGGAAGTTAAAGTGGCTAATATGGTGTTCAGCACATCATCCAATGAATAGTTTGGTCTTTAAAAGTTTGCATCTTGCACCATATGCCTAATGTACCAATAGCACTTTTATTTTCAATACTGTTCACAAGCTGTAAACTCTGGAGGAAAAGTTTTGGTTGTTCCTCTACTTCTGGACTTGAGTCCCATTCTAGAACTTAAGTTTTGCATGTACATCCATTTTACAAATCTGGTTCACTTGTATGCAGACTACTGGGTCCTCATCTCTCAGGCAGATATGCTCCGGCTCCAGGGGAAAATTCCTAATTAGTCGCCTTTTACACATGCTTGTTAGGCAGGCAGTGGCTATGGAACCTACAAGGGGTACCAACAGCATAAAATATGTCTTTTCCCAGTTTATTTCTTACCCTGCAGAATCAGCACAAACTTGTCAGATGGGACTCCTTTTATATAGATGTAGTTCTTTATGGTCTCAGGCTCCGTGGGAGACAGGTTTACCACAATATCTTTCTTCATCAAGTTCTTCAGCACATTTCTGGCAATGAATTTATCAGAGAATGGCTCGACAGCTGAAACAGATCAGAAATATAATGCTTAAGCAGATCAGAAATACATGTTGAACCCAAGAATGGATATCACAGCACTTAGGAAATTCCCATAAGTGCTCTGTCCCTATCCTCAGCAGCAGTAACAGCCTGAAGGTATATATGTCTTGCCCTTCTCCTCAGTGCTGAGTTTTGTCAGGTCCTCTGGTCACATCCTTGTAGCACCATTCTTCCCCCATCAGTAATGATGTACTTGCGCCTCCACAATTCAACATCTAGTTTGTCAGGCAACAATTCACCACCAAGCGGTGCAGAACCAACCAGTCTATCTGCTTGTTTTTGCCCAACAGCTTAATAACCTGGAGAATATTTCAAAATAATGCTATCTACCCAAGACTTCTGCACAGGAATAAAATCCAGAAGTGGACCAACATCTAGAACTTTCTGCCACTGTTTTTATGCTAAGAAGATTTCTAGCTAATCTGTGGTCATGACCCTGAATCATGACCTGGCTACAGCTTAAATGCTTCTCCTCAGATGTGAAATTTCTGTATGAATCTTGCAAGCATAAAACGTTTATGAGCTTGGGAGGGGGAAAACAGTTTTTCAGTACAGTACCTACAAAGATAATAATACTTCAATATCCAATTGGATAGAAAATCTCTACACTCATCATCAATTAGTAGGTTCTTTACAGAACATATCTCTCTTCATGGCATGCCTGAAAGTCTCTCTACAGCTAATTTTCAAGGCATATGTGCTTTCATACTCAGTATTTTGTATCCAACTTTGAGGTAGTCAGTCCCTGCCTCATTCTCCGGAAATTACATCCTAACACTGTTCTCTTCAGGTCACCATGACGTTTAACATGACCAAAATATCTTAGCTTTCAAGACAGGAAGCTGTTTATGAGCCAATTCTCCTCAATCTCTCTCCACTTACATAAACAGCTAGGTCTGCAACAGTGCTAACTGGTCAGATCTGTGATCTCTCGACTATATGTAAAGAACATGCCTGCAGCACATGTTCAGTATTCTGCCTGGGCAAAATGAATTTCTTGCTTGCTAGGAGACATTTTAACTTTCTTTTCTTTTTATAAAAGTTCTACATGTGAATACTTCAGACTTCAAGGTTAGTCTTCAACAAAATAAATAAGATGAAATGAATGAGGCAGAAAAAAAAACTTCTTGTTTCTAAGAGAATAGGCAGCTTACTTGTGGTCAAAAACTGGAAAGCTGCAAAGGCCAACTGCTTTGGTAAGGTCGATTTTCGTTCATCTGGCACAAGCATTGTATAATCCTCTTTCTGGCGAAGTGGACGACATCCCTTCTGTCGATTGTCAACTAAAAAAAAAAATTTAAAGTATAATAAAGTGTTCATTTATATGCCACTGCTGATAATAACTTCTGAATGAAGACCACAGCAAAAATGCTTGAACAAAATTAAAGGCCTCTTTTAAGCCAGTGCTGCATCTGGTATATAGTGCTAGACCTATATTTTCATAGATCAGTCAGCAATCCATGGCTGATGTGGTCAAAATCATGTCTATCGATGTAACATATTTAGTTCTGAAACTTACATACAAATGAAAGACAGAAAGAAACAAAGAAAGACAGAAAAACAGGGAAAGAATGTGCCGGGGAAGGGGAGGAAATGCTGATGTCCTAGCTTTTATACTGTGATTACTCCTAGTTTTTACACTGTGATGAGTCCTAGCTTTTATACTGTGATGACTCCTAGCTTTTACACTGTGATGACTTCTAGCTTTACACTGTGATCACTTCTAGCTTTTATACTGTGTTGACTCCTAGCTTTTATACTGTGATGACTCCTAGCTTTTACACTGTGATGACTTCCAGCTTTTACACTGTGATGACTCCTAGCTTTTATACTGTGATGACTCCTAGCTTCTATACTGTGATGACTCCTAGCTTTTACACTGGGATGACTCCTAGTTTTTACACTGTGATGAGTCCTAGCTTTTATACTGTGATGACTCCTAGCTTTTACACTGTGATGACTCCTAGCTTTTATACTGTGATGACTCTTAGCTTTTACACTGTGATGACTCCTAGCTTTTACACTGTGATGACTCCTAGCTTTTATACTGTGATGACTAAGGTTCTGAGTGAGGAAGACTGGTAAGCAGATAGATATGTTAGGTTCTGCAGTTAAGTATGTAGATAGGCAAGCAGGTAGGTATTGCAGTAAATAGCTAAGAATGGCAGTAAGTAGGTAGGTAAGACAGCCAGCCATTAGGTACAGTGATAGGTAAGTAGGTACTAGTACAGGCAGACGGATGGATGGATGAATGCATGCATGCCATAATACCCATCTACCCACAGAAACACTAGTCAAGTACTCAGTACTCCACTTAGCTCTCATTTCTGACCACATCAAAGTTCATTTCTATTTAGTGGAATCTTTCAAACAAACAACCAGCAATTTTCTTAACAGCATATCTCCTTCCCTTAGTCACACTGAGATACCTCACATGGTATGTGGATATTTACTCAGGAAATTGCTTTCTTCCAACCTTTAAAGGTGACAGCAGACTTCAACCAATGGTCTACTGTTGTCTCTTTTTAAATTAAAACAGTCCTGTGCACACAATGAATCTTGACAAATTCTATGGCTCTGAAAGATGCCAGTGCTTGGTTAAGTATCAATTTTATGAAGCACTAATTCTTCTTCTTTTCATTCACAAGAAGTCAGTCCTTTTTACAGTTCATGTAAAAGTATAAGACCAAGAGGAAGCCTAAGGAGAAAATTGAATGATGGCATTAAAGACATTATACATCCATTCAAAATGACAATGGCCAGTACTACCCATCAAATGCTGAACTGAAAACTGTCCCTTCACCATAAAAGCACCATAGGGAGATTGCAATCTTCTTCTTCTTCTTTGTTCCCCGGCTGTAAACTCCTGCGGAAAGTCCTAATTATTCGTCCATGTGGACTTTGGCTTTGTGCCAGGGCCTGCGTTTTGCATGTACATCCGTTTTACTGGATTATTTATGTGCAGCTGGCTGTTCCTTGCCACTCGGGCAGATGCATCCCGATTTCAGAGGAAGCTCCAAATTAGTCGACTCTTACGACATGCTTTTTTGGGTCAGGTCTATTCTCGTTTTCACCCCACAACGGGGCATCGAACCCAGGGAGAGAATGCAATCTAAAGTTGAAGCCTTTTTTGTAAATGATATCATAGACCCCTAAATGTGTTCCCTTTTAGAGCAATTCAAGCTGTACACCTCTGACTAAACCGGGCTGGTGTGAGAAGAAATGTGTCCAGCAAGCAGAAGGAATGTGACCAAATGGGCATTTCAACAACAAAATAGATGCAAATGTGAGTCAGCTGTGATCTATTCACTTCAATGTGTTTTGCCACAGCTGTTTATGTCATAATGTCATCTGTTTGTCATTTGAGGCTGAAAATAGCTCAAGCGCATTGTGGAGCAAAGTTTAAAGCTGATAGGATTAACTTTATTGCACTGAGTTGTATTCCATATAGCCCAGTCTCTATTCTTCTCTCTCTGTATGTGTGTGTGTTTCTCAAAACGGCAGCTAGCCACCTGTCGCACAGCGTTGCACAAAGCACGAACTTCATAACTTCAGTGACCATCCCTGGGGATCTCCGTAAAATTTGCACTTGTGCACGAAGACACAGACAATGAAATGAACCTAGCACCTTCAGCGCCCACTTCACCAGTGAGATCCTCTCGACCTTACAATCTATAAGTCAAGTTCGCTTGAGTGTTATCCCCCCCCCCCCCTTTTTCAACCCCTACCCCGGTGCATGCTGAATGAAATATCCGCTCAGTTTCCGGCTTCCTACACTGCTAAAAATCAAGACAAACGCTCCTCCCAAACTGTTAGTCATACTGAATTGGATACAGCCACTTGATCCTATTCTATGGTGTTCACATAATGTAAACTGTCTACTTTTGACAAAAGCGAACTAAGATTAGGAACACACATAACACAGACACATGTATAAGGTATTCACAAATAAACAGATAGCTGGACCGAACCAGATCGATCATTCGGACTATACCCTTCGGGCAGCGACCAAAAATGTTACCATATCATCCCGAAACTTGTTTTTAAATCTCAACAGGGATGCAGATGAACAAGGCAAATACCCTAACTCCCACACAAGTTATAACGGTGACGTATGCTTCCATACTTCAAGAGACACCCCAGCCCCCAAACAAGTTATAACTAGGGCACCCGTAACGGTGAAGTATGCATCCATACTTCAAGATACCCCCCACTCCCACACAAGTTATAACGGTGACGTATGCTTCCATACTTCAAGATACCCCTCCCCCCCCCACAAGTTATAACTAGGGAACCTGTAACGGTGCAGTATGCATCCATACTTCAAGAGATACCCCAGCTCCCACACAAGTTATAACTAGGGCACCCGTAACGGTAAAGTATGCATCCATACTTCAAGAACTGAATACTGAAGAAGGCTGGCTAAAGACGATAAAACACAGAAAACTGAAATATTTTGGTCACTTGAAACGTCGCGAAAGTTTAGAGAGAACTATAATGGAGGGACATATGCCTTGAAAGAGAGGAAGACCAAAGAGAAGATGGGTGCAGGATGAGGCGGATGACCTCCAGATGAATGTATCGGACGCGGGACATCTTGTTTATGATCGAGAAGTAGGTAAATTTCACACCACCAAGACATCACACAGAGCGATAAACACCCGTTGACACAAAGTGCCACTATGCGGATGGGGATCACCCGTGGAGAGTTCTCAGAAACCGCGTTCAGCCTTTTCAGTCTATTGTGCGGTCCCCGGTGGGGCTTCAAAATAACGGAAAATTGCGTCCCACATGGGGACGACCTTATCTGCTAACTGTGATAGAGAAGTTTTCCGGAGGGTTGTTTTGGGAACAAGGTTTTGCGAAAACGTGGTACTTACTGACTGACTGTAAGGATGACACTAACGAGGTATGACCTGTAGTTCTACACGAGTAAGGACGTGAATTACATGTACACTGCTAACTGATATACTCTCCCGTGTGGGTTCCGGAGCTCACTTTTGGGGAACAAACAGAATAGGCCCGCTGCACCAATAACAAGCAGGTTGCAGCTAATTAATGAAATCAGATGTGTTGGCGGACAGGTTGAGATATCGCAGACTACAATAAACCACGACACTGCGTGATAACCACCCGTTTAACCGTGTCGCTCAGCAAACTTAACGGCAGATGACAAGGAAGGTGAACGCAAGGAGGAGACTCTTCCCTTCTCTCTCTCTCTCTCTCTCTCTCTCTCTCTCTCTCTCTCTCTCTCTCTCTCTCCCTCGCTTTCCTCTTTATCTCTCTCCTTCTCAGATATGTAAACAATATGCTTAATATTAAAATGTAAGACGGGCCTGCGTGCCCAATTAGATCCGTGTGAAAATAAAGTTCGTTTGTTCATTTGTTCGTCCTCTCTCTCTCACTGTTTCGAGTCATGGCAAATTTTTTGCTTCTGCCAAACGGTGACCGTTGCATTTTTGCTCCATTTGTAGACTGAAATGATATAGTTTCGTCGCCAAGCTACTGAGTTGAGTGCATGGTGCGACACTGTGAGCTGTGGATTTAATTTGAAATGTTGTTCGACTGTAGCCAACGTGGTGTTGAGAATCGTAGATTCAGAAAATGGCGCGGGGCCTGTCGTCGCAATATTCGTAGTACCTTATGTGATGAAAATTGATTGCTTGTGTAACTTCTGCTACCGTCGATGATGAACTGCATTTCTAATGTCAGACTGTTTGTGTTAGCACTTCTGATGGCTACCATATGCTTTTACTGCGTGTGTACGCTAGTGCATATGCTGAGATAGCAGTCTGTCAATCTTTCCACAAGGGACTGTGATGAAAATTCTGTTTGTTTTTCGTTGGCACAGGAGAGGAGCAACGACGGGGTTACCCGTTTGCTACAAAGCTGAAACTAAGATTACCAAGATACGGCATATAGATTGGAGCGGGGGTGGCACCAATTAAATATGCGAGGTGCACACGTAATGCAAGCAGACAGACAGACAGAAAATAGGGACATAAGAAAATGTAAACAGAACAGTTTTTGTCTCGCGGGAGTGAGACAAACAGCGGAAGGGAGAGAGAGGGAGAGAGAGAGAGAGAGAGAAAGAGAGAGAGATGGAGAGATGAGAGGGATGGAGGGAGAAAGAAACGTAAACAGAACAGCCGTTGTTTCCTGGTAATGAGACAGACAGGCAGGGAGATGAGGGGGGGGGGGCGACAGACAGACAGGACACAGAAACAGAGGTCAGACACAAGCAGAGATCATTGGCGTGAGAAAAGCGTTAAAAAAAAACCAG